TCTATTTTTGTTGATGACAATATTTCAGAAATTCGATGGGCGACGTACTGTTTATATTGTCTGTGGCTGCTGGCTATCCATCGTAACACTGTTGTGGAGTCACTCCACAAAACAATCTTTTCTGGGGTCAAAATATGAGATGACATAATAGTCTGCATTAATCTAGTTCCCAAAACGGCAGCTTGTAGCTCCAGACGCGGAATCGTAACTTTTTTCAGAGGTGCACATTTAATTTTAGAAGTGATGAAGCTGGTATCAGTGTACTCATTCGAAATGTACCTCCAATATGCCACTGCAGCAAAGGCATCCTCACTGGCATCAACAAAGATATGAAGCTGTAGTGATGTTGGCAAACCTGTTTGAAAATAATGTCTAGGGACGCTAAATTTGGCAACATTTTTCATCTGACCTCTCCACCTTTCCCATATGGCATGTAAATCGTCAGGAATAATATCATCCCATCGACAATCGTGTTTCCAAATCTGTCGCATTAATAATTTTCCACCCACTGTAAAGTGGCCCAAAAGTCCAAGGGGGTCAAATGTAGACATTATAATGCTTAAAAGTTTCCTTTTTGTTGGTTTCAGTTCTCCAGAAATTATGGATGAATCGACTCGATTGAATTTTAAGTTGAACATAAACGTATCACTAGAAGGCTCCCAATATAATCCTAAGACCTTCTCTGCTCCGTTATTAATCGGCATTGCTTTCAAACTACCATCAAGTGTTTGGGAGACATCCTTCGAGTTTGATATGAAGTTCCTCAATTCAAATCCGCCATTTTTGTGAATTTCTTTCACTTGTTTAGAAATAATGATAGCTTCATCTACACTTTCAAAGCTATCTACAAAATCATCAACATAATGGTTCTCGCTAATGGCTTCAATCGCTCTTGGATTATAGTGCAAATGTTCTTTAGCATTTGCTTTCATGACAAAAATGGCTGAGCATGGTGAGCAGGCTGCACCGAAGATCATGACCTGCATCTCGTATACACCCGGTGGCTCTTTCTGATTTCCATCCCTCCATAGGAATCGCTGGGAAACTCTATCACTCGGCTGAATTTTAACTTGGTGAAACATTTCACATATATCGGCACCAACTGCTATTTTGCCTCGGCGGAAACTATACAGTATAGTCAACAAGGAAGCTATATTTTGAGGTCCTTTTAACAGCATAGAATTCAGCGAAATATTGTTTACCTTGGCGGCTGCATCAAAAACGAGTCTTAACTTTTCAGGTTTGTTCGGGTTGACTACCCCGAAGTGCGGCAAATACCATTTTCTTTCACTAGAAATTCGTACCTCGTCTGATTGTAGTTTCCGAACATATCCTTTCTCTATGTATTTATCTATAATTTCCCTGTAGGCCGCAGAGAACTTGGGATCTCGTTTCATCTTCCTTTCAATTCCTTCCAGACGACTAAGTGCCATCGGGTAACTATCTGGGAGACGAATCTCATCTTGTTTCCACAACAGCCCAGTTTGAAATCGATCTCCAATTCGTTGAGTGGTTTCTTCAAGAATTCTCTTGGCTCTAACATCATCATCGCTTTCAACTAAAGGAGCAGATCTAACTCCCATACCTTCCACATTAAAATAATCAGCTACTATTTGATGTAATTCGTCTTTGTTTTCCACCGAAATAAACAAAGATGACTTCTGAATTGAGGATAAAGAGTGACATGGCCCGAAAACAACCCATCCCAATTCCGTATTACATGCAAATGGTCCAAATTCATTATTTATTTTACAATTCGATGGCAACCCTAGAGACGCGTGGTCCAATCCAATCAAAAGCTTTGGCACTACATTGGAGTAGGGTTTCACGGGAGGAAATTTACAGTTCTTAAAGGCTGATAAAATTTCATCTTGACTCAAGGACTGCATCGGAAGGTTGAGATTAGATACTGCATACACATTTTTTAGTAGATGGCAACCCTTTTTACCAGATCCACTCACTTTTATGTTGAAGGATGTCACGGGCTCTCTGGCTGATCGGCCTCCGAACCATTGAACATTGAGCGAAGTATTCTTTCCTCTTATCCCTATTTTTTCGGCAATATCGCTGTCCATCATGGTGATGGATGATCCATCATCAAAGAGGGCGTAGACTTCCATTGAACAATTGTTCCCGTACAATGTTACAGGCAGAACCCTAAAAAGAAGTTTCTTCTTATCTTCGGAATTGCAACTGAGAACATTTTGTTGAGATTTAGGATCAGGATTCGCCAAAGTTGGTGGTGGAACACAGGGGGTGGTGCACTCATGAAGTAATTTATGATGCCTTCGCTCGCATCCTTCCTCAGGGCATACTCGTCTACGTCGACAGTCTCGGGTTATATGTCCAGTGTGCAAACAGGAAAAACAGGCACGATTTTTTTTTACTTGTTTCCATCTATCTGGAACATTCAGGTTTAAAAACCGGCGGCAATCATAAATCCTATGTTGGCCCTGGCACATAGGGCATTGTATTTGTTGTCCGGTGGAATGCAATAAAACACGGCGCTTTTGGTCTTTATATTCCACATCCTGCACTATGCATATTAAATTAGCAATCTCGCAAAGCCAATCGCTGAAATGTATTATTGTAGGATATGGTTGAATTTGAGTGGCTACCCTGGCCCATTCTAATTTCTTACTCATTGGAAGCTTCGACACCAACTCCTCCAGAAGTGTAGGGTTAGCAATGTGATTTTGTCCATTCACGGATTGCAGGAAAACAGCTAAATTTTTAACTTTTGTTGAAAATGGCACTAACTTCCCTAAGTTATTTTCCGAAATCTGAGGCAATTCCCTGGCTTGGCGTAACTGACTATGTATGAGCTGCTCCGGTCTACCAAATCTAAAACAGAGTTGTTTAATTATGTCGTCGACGTTGTCAGGATGAATAAGCAGTGATTTGACGACTTCTCTGGCTTCACCTTTGAGCGACTTGTGCAAACGTTGATTATTTTCCAAATTCGTGTAACCATATGCTGCAGTTGACTGGTTGAAAGCTGTATAAAATAATGGCCAGTCGTCTGGATCACCACTGAATTCTGGCAAATCTTGAATTTTTCTTGGCATTGTGATCGCAGGTATGCTTGGATTTGGAAAAGTATCAAAGTGTTGAAAATTTTGCAATGGCTCCCATAATGGCATTGAACAGGTCGTAGCAGCGCTGGCATTACTGCTGGCTGCAGTTGGTGCTGATTGTAGTAGTGGCATCGCGGCAGAGGATGCGCTCGCCACTGTCGCTGCAGTTAAGTTTCCAATTGCTGAGGCAGCGTACGTCGACGGCATAACGGCTCTGGTGCTTGCTACAGGCTGAAACATGGCGGCGGTTGTATATGTGTGTGTGGTTGGGCAATTGGTATAGCGGGACCCAAATGCTGTTGGCGGCATGGCGGCTCTGGTGTCAATGGCGATTGCAAATGGCGTTTGCGAGGTTGAAACTGATGTGAGGTTATGGTCACTTACCTGGGATGATACGTTTCGGAGTGCATTTTGGAGTTCATGGCATTGGCGGTTGCTGTTGGTCAGCTTCTTTTGTGTTTCCGATAGCTGGCTTTTCAATAGGTTGACTTGTCTTTGCATCTCTGATGGACTGGCAGGACTTGTAGTCGACATCGGCACTGACATCTTCTGTCCGATAGTTTGCTGTTGGTGGCCACTTACTGTAGTGGCTGGATTTCCATTTAATTCCATGGAGGAAATAGGTGCTGGCTGCACAACACGTGAGGTTATAGGCTGTTCCCCACTTTTAATATTACCTCCGGCAGTTTGTGTGGTTGTTTTGTTTGTGACACTAATTAGCATTGACTCTGGCTGAGTCTGATCAGGATGATCATCTGTTACAGCATCTGCATTTATATTTCCTTGCAGACGAGGACTCCGGCGTGGTGGAGTATGCTGTAACATTTTCCAAAAGGTTGCTTATTTTGTGTCCACCAACAATTACCACGGCAACAAACTCAGTTCTTTGTATGAAAATACAAAAAACTGCAACATACAATAACAGCAAAATGCGAAATAAAAAAAATGTTGCTGACTGCGGCTAGAAGGGCAGGAGGCTTGCGTTAAACGGACAATAAAACACGTTTATATTGTTGCTGCGTTTATTTCTACGAAAACATAACTGTTAATTTACCAAAAAATACAAATATAAATGACGGACACTTACCGCAGTTTTGCGCCTCCTTCTTCAACGAATATCAAATTTAAAATGAGCTAATTGCGCTCAGCAACGATAAGCACAAATATGCAAAGAAAGAGGAATCAGCAAACTGCGGTAATTCAATACAAAGTGACAATGCAAATAATAATCGATAGAATCAAAATAACAATTATCGATAACATCAAATAATAGGCCTGATCTACAACAAACAGTCATGGGGTTGGGAATGTTTTCGTTTGTCCATTTTATATAGCTTAACCATATACAAAGGGCTTAAAATATTTTGCTCTATGCTCCGCAAAGTTTACGATAGAGTTTTAAATTTGATACAGTCCTAGGGGTAACATGAAGAATCATTTGGCAAAAATATGTATCAGGTCGGTCTACATTGAGATATAGCTCCCCTCAAGTGATGTATCCCATTTGAAATTTCCCAAATGTTGGCAAACTGATATTTTATATTGTATGGGACCATGCGTTGGTATAAACCTTATATGAATGTATCCGTTGATTTCAGCTGTTTCCAGGACCTTGGACACATTTTTTAATTGATTTAGCCTTTATTCGGCATCTTAGCTTCTAAGGGGGTAGCATACCACTTCGCTTAAATTTTTCAATGTCAATGTAAGCGTCCATATAAAAGTTAATTATTATGCTTTAAAAATATGATTAAAGACAAAAATTTTGGGCCGGCAACGCGGACTGGGACAGCTAGTATATATATAGAAGATATCAGAACGAGAAACTCTATTGCACATTTTCATCTAGAGAGTATTTTTCAGGCTCTGTATTATCGTTATTTACTATCACTTACATTTAATTTATTTTAAATTACTTTACAGGACAGACATATTAAACGCAGTGGAGATCCAGAACCGGTTGTAGATCCTTCTCAGGACTACATTCTAATTTTGGGATATGAAAACCAAACTCACACCGTTCTACGATTTCGAAGAAAACTCAATACATGCGATACGATGCATGACATCGCCATTACGGTAAGTTCTGTAACACTCAAAATGAGTAATTATAAATACCCCCTAGCCAAGGATACGCAGTAATTGTGATTAATGACTGTGCGTCATTATATCGAAAAAGTTTGAAGGTAATTAAACAATGCCTTTTATTTGTTCAACAAATAATTTAAATGAGTTTTCAAACTTTCTTCTTGCACTTGAAATGAGGAAAAAGAACATTACTTATTTCCAAAGAAATACTTCAGCAGGCTTTTTACAATATAGGATAGCTTAAAAGTATTATTGGTACATCATTATATGAATATTTTAATTGGTTTTCCTTTAAATTACGGTCCACGATAAAAGCAGGAACATGCCAAATTTAGTCCGCATACACGAAGAGTCTGCCCTTATTGTAATGTACTTTATTGGGAGCCACATTCAATTCAAAACCGATTTCAATAGTATTTGTCAAATTTATATCTGGTTATATTTCCAATTTCATTGAAATTTGACATATATAGCGTGTTTGGCGCATCAAATACATAAAATCGGCCTAAAATATGCTTGGATGCTATGTCTAAATCTGAACCGATTTCAATATAATTTTACAGCATTTGTTTTTAGTCCAAATTCCGGTGCATTGACTAAATACATGAAATCGTCCGAAATTTATTTAGGGCTTTATGTAAACCCCAGTTGACAAATTAATTTTTGTTACAAATTCCTTTACGCAGTCCAAATTTCATTGAAATCGAACATACATATCATGTTTGTTGCATCAAATATGTGAAATCGGCCGACAAATATATTCAAATCTTTACCGAATTCAATATAATTTGAGAAACAAATTTTTAGACCAAATTCGGTTAGAGATTCCAAACTTGAAGACTGTATCTGTAACTGAATAGATATGTGCATACAAAATCTAAGTTGTTTGGAGGTACCTCCGATACTTATCTATATCTATATCTATATCTATATCTCAATTTCAAGTGTAATTTCAAAATTTTATATATCCGATTTTACTTTATCTTCTATCTACATTTATCTTGTAATAAAAATGTAAAGACCTTCTTATTTACTTTCAAAACTTTGCACCTTTGCGGTGGAGGCATAAGAAGGAGTGGGTCTCATCTCATACAAAAGGAGCCGTTAATAACACTATGGGTCGATTTTCACACCTTACCTTACTTTACCATACCAATTTTTGTATGGACAATATTATTTCATACCCTCCACCATTCTAGGAAGGGTATATTAGCTATGTCATTCCGTTTTTAATTCTTCGAAATATTCATGATAGAAGTATGTTTAGAGAGACGATTTAGCGATGTCCGTCTGTTTGTGTGTCTGTCTGTTGTAATCACGCTATCAATAGAGATAGAAGGTTACAATTTTGCACACATTTGTATTCGGAGGTACCGTTATAGCCCCCATATACAAAGACGTTTACTGACATAGCCCATTTATGAACTTAACCTGCCTCTAGCAAAATACACATGTGTGCAAAATTTTAGCTTTCTATTTCAATTCATTCGAAAGAAATCGTGATTACAACAGACAGACACACAGACGGGCATCGCTAAATCGCCTCAAAATTATACGCTGATTCAGAATGTATATACTTTAAGGTTCTATCATGAATATTTCGAGAAGTTACAAACGGAATGACAAAGCTAATATACCCTCCATAGAATGGTGGAAGGTATAAAAATTTAATCGTGTTCTATATGTCAACCAAACATTCAATATTTGGTGCGGGTAATGAGTGAAAACATATAAAAAATCATTTACTTTATGCTATTATTACCAGGTTTTTTTTTTCTTTTTTTTTTGTGGAATACAAATTCAGCTTCCACACAACTACTATACAAAACTAGTCCATTTTATCGAAAATTTTTTAATGTTTAGATTTTTTGTTGGGTAGGTAGCAGAAGGATTGGACCAATATGGTAAATATGAAATACACAAAATATTATAGATAGATTATCGGCGATTTATTTACTTTTTTATATTAGTTATGACTATATAGCAAATTCGATGTCACTTCCAGAGGCGTGGTTCAGAATAGTTTTTTCCCAGTTAACATTGCATATGTTTTGAACGAGTAAAGACACTTTTATACCTTACATAGTATGGAGGGTATATTAATTTCGTCATTCCATTTGTAACTCATCGATATAATCATTTTAGACCCAACAAAGTATTTATATTCTTGATCAGCGTAAAATTCTAAGACGATTTAGCCGTGTCCGTCCGTCTGTTGTAATCACGCTACAGTATAAACGAATTAAGATTGGAAGCTAAAATTTTGCGCAGATCCCTCTTTTATCTGCAGGCAGGTCAAGTTCGAAGACGGACTATATCGGTCCACGATATCGTATAGCCCCCATATATCGGTACCCTCCGATATTCGGTATTTTTTGTCTGATAATCCACACAAGGAGTACCTTGTGGGTAATTTATACCTCGAAAGAGGACTAACTATATAGGTCCACGATATCCTATAGCCCCCATATAACGGTACCCCCGATACTCGGAATTTTGATGATTTTACCCACATTTTTCAACGGAGTTGTCTGAAAATCCACACAAAGAGTATCTTGTAGGTACTTTATGCGTTGGAAGAGAATTATCTATATAGGTCCACGATATCGTATAGCCCCCCTATAACGGGACCCCAAGATATTCGGTATTTTGATGATTTTAGCCACATTTTTCAACGGAATTGTCTGATAATCCACACAAGGTGTTTCTTGTAGGTACTTTATCCTTTGGAAGAGAATTATCTATATAGGTCCACGATATCGTATAGCCCCCATACAACGGAAATAATCATTTTAGACCCAACAAAGTATTTATCAGCGTAAAATTCTAAGATGATTTAGCCCTTTCCCTCCATCTGTCCGTCTGTTGTAATCACGCTACAGGCTAAACGAAATAAAAAATCAAGTTCGAAGATGGGCTATATCGGTCCATGTTATCGTATAGCCCCCATATAACGGTACCCCCGATATCTGGTATTTTGATGATTTTAGCCACATTTTTCAATGGAATTGTATGAAAAGCCACAGAGCATTTTATCTCTTGGAGAGAGAATTATCTATGTAGGTCCACGATATCGCATAGCCCCCATATAACGGTACTTCCCAGAAGCCTTCCAATTTTGATGGTCATCGGGTATTATTTAGTGGGTTAAATAACATTTTTGTTAAAATTTTCTATTAAACCGCGAATATTTGTAATCCCGGCGAAATCACAAATAGACGAAAAGGCCAATTCTGACCGTTACGTAGTGCCAATAAATATAAATAAATAAAATATAAATATATGGATATATATCGCGAAATATATACAATGTATGTACAAAAGGAGGGGATGTTAACTAGATTGTTTATATCTCAAGAATGGCTGGACCGATTTTGACAAATTTTGGCTATTGGCATTAAAGAATAAAATCTAAAAAAAATTGCATAGATTTTGTAGTATTTTTGTGACATTTTTTTATTCTTTCATATTTTTTATCGCATGCGATTTTTTCAATTTGACTTATAATTTTGAAGTGTATGTATGTTTTGTAATATTTTTTCAACTTACAACGCAGGTTGGGGATATTATATAGAGATGGCAACTATCGTCCGATCTTTACGAAAATTTTCACTAGGTTAGGGTTAGGCTCAAAAGGGTCTATTGATTTAAAAATGTCCGTAATGTATTTTGGGGTTGAAATGGACCAACAACTAAAAGTGCTCCTGATTTTCCAGCCGTTATAAGGGTCATAAATAGAAATCAAAGAACACGAAATGAAGAGTTTAGGAGAGCAGGTAGAATAGACCACTACTTTTGTGTGAAAAAATACCAACATTACTTACAGGCGATATGCACAAAGGCGAACTTTTGGCATTGTTATGCTGATTTCGTTCACGAATATAGCCAAATATCGTAGACAATCAAATCATATAGGTGAGCCTAAATGTTGAGATACAGAGGCGCCTCTTGCTTTTGGAGATGATCGCAAAATATTTAGGGGTTCAAATAAACCAAAAACAGAAAAAAATTCCTGATCACACAATTGTAGCCATTCTATACGCCTGAGAAGAGCATTAAGGACAGGGAAGAATTCTAGCATTTTGGATGACCATTGGATTATATTTTGCAAAATGCTAGGGTAATATCTGGGCAGTGTACCGTGACAAAATTTCAAAAGCGAAATCTTCCAAAATGTATTTGTACATAAGATGACTTCTAACATATTGTAGTGCTGTAGGGTATCACATGGTCGGCCCCGCACGGTTATAGACTGTGCTTACTTGCCTTGTTATATTGTTATTCTCAACAAACCCATTCGATACTTCCTTTTAAGATCTTATTTTGTACTTTCGATGTAGTATCAAATCTAGAAATGAATTGATCAATTTCGTGATAATTTTGCAGTCATTGGTGCTCTATGACAACTATTTATACCCTACACCACAAGGTGGTCAGGGTATTATGTCTTTGTGCATTTGTTTGTAACAGGCAAAAGGAAACGAGATAGACCCATAGTTCCTTTTGATGATCTGCATAGAATCACTTTCTGAGTTGATTTATGCATGTCAGTAGTTGATTATGCATGTTTGCTCAAATAGGATGGAATTTGGCACATACGACCGAATTGAGTCTAGAAGGTAGTATGCAAAATTTGGAGAAAGATCGGTTCAGATATAGCTATAGCTCCCATATATATTGTTCATCCGATTTGTTGTATTTGTTACACAGCCGTAATATGCACTCCGTAACAACGATATTCAGGGAAATATATTAAATACAGCTCAGAAATATCTGCCAAATTTTATCGAGATCGGTTCAGATTTGGATTTAGCTCCCATGTATATCTTTATGTGATTTAGAATTAATTTTGCACCAAATGGGCAATACAAGTCCGAATTTAAAAGATACAAATGCTTCGTCGTATTTAGTCCTTTAAATTTTAAATTATAATTATAATCATAGGGTGTATGATTGAATTGTCCCATAAAAACTTTTACTTGTTATTTGGA